AGCCCGTCTGGTCTGGATGGAAATGGGATCAATGTGCGTGCCTTGAAGGAGAGAGCAGAAATGGGGATGGAAGATGCCTTTGGAACATTCTGAGCAGCTACAGGTAATGAAATATACCAAGGGATGTAAGGTGGATTCTGCTTCTACTTTGATTTTTGTCTAGAAACACTTTAAGGTAGAGCCTATCTCACTCAGGCTCAATCCATTGCTCACTCTGATCTTGAAATAGCAGCGTGAGCTGGCCTGCAGTGTGGATTTTCCTTCTCTCACCTTCCTCTTCCTTCATCCCAAACATCTCCAGGAAGCACCAAGTTATTTTGTTTCATTTATTCATTTAAAAATACAAATAAGCAAAAAAAACACCTTAAACCTCACGTCTCTTGGACTTTCCAGTTCACCAAAAAAAAATTGTTTTAAATAGAACATCTGGGAATTTTAGGACAAAGAGTAGAAAGGTGGTTCAGGCAGGGGAAACTGCCACTCAAGCAGTTGATTTTGATAAAATGTTGGCATATCAGAGGCTTGGGCTCACCCAAAAGTTCAGGCTGTGCTCTCCCAACTCCCCATCACCTCAGCAGGAAGGAAGATCCTCTCCAGGGACTGAGGATGAGTCAGAGTGCATTGTTAGTCAGCTTTCCAGGAAATAAAATTAAATAACATTTTCATCAGCCCACAAACCATGTGAGACTGAAATAGAGAGGAGGGAAGACTATTATTATTATTATTATTGTTGTTGTTGTTGTTGTTGTTATTGTTGTTGTTATTGTTATTTGTAGACAAGAGTATTTTCATTCTAACATGCCATATTTATTTAGAGAATTTATGGGCTGTTCCATAGGAAAAGCAGCCCTACAGCAGGCTTGGGTTTTAACCCCAGAGAGACACAACTTTGGAGTCTCAGGAAGGACCAGACTGTGGTGCTTTGCTGTGCCCTCCTTGCTTTGCAAACGGATTCACATCCAAACTTGCAGCTCCAGGCTGAGTTTTAGTTATTCCTTTTTGCCCTCACTTGGGACAATTATTTGAGCTGCTAATGAAGCATGTCCAATGCCCAAAAGGATTTCTCACTGATGTGCTGCTCTCAGGACACCTTGGAAACCCCAGGACCCAGATAGAAAATAGAGGAGCAGTTCCCCAGGGAGGAGGCTGCAATGCTGGAAACAGGATTTAGCCCTTGATTTTGGAAAGCCATAAACCTGTTCTCTTGCACCTGGACACAGCTGGAGCTCCAAACCCACCCTGAGGCAAGGCTGACCTCTAGTGCCACATCCTTGCTCTGGAAATCCAGGTGTGAAATGGAATGAAGGCAATGGATGATGGCATTGCAAATCAAAATGCAGATAGGAATAAAGAATAAATACGGAAAACAGATAAAATTATGTGGGGAAAAAAATCTAAAGATGGATTCAAAATTAGAAATTGAATTTTTATAAATTGTATCAGATCACAGCGATGGCTCTCGATGTGCCCAGCATCAAAGACACCAAATCTCAGAGGCAGCAGCATCAGCAGATGAACCAAGACCCAGCCTGGATGTCCCTGCCCTTCTCTGACTCCTAAAAATCTTTTTTTCCCACATTCAGGGGATCCAGGAGAATTAGCATTTGCCCAGCATCACTCTCACAGCAGCCAACCCTTGGGTGCTGCTGATAAATCATCTCCAGGGATGAGTTGCTGCATTCAAACACAGCTCTAAGGGGAAGGAAAACCCCTTTTTAATGGGGTATCAAGGGTTTTGAGGCACCAAATCCTCAATCTCCACCACTTTTAAGGCAGGAGGGCCCTCTCGTGGCTGTGGCCATGGGGGGAAGGGAGGGCAAGGCAGCGACCACAGATTTATGCTGGCAAATTTCGCTTCTTCATTCACTCCTAGCTCCAAATCAAGCCTAAATCTCCCCTTTCCTCACAGGAACTTCCCTGAGTCCCCTTACCAACCTCGGTAACCTGGAGGTTTCACTGAAGGCAGCTGGGCAGGACACTGGCCAGGACTCTGATTTAAAGCCCAGCCGCTTTTCTGGTAGACATTTCCACCCAGCTGATCACTTTAAATGAAAACTATTGGAAATGTTCCTTTTGCTGTGGGGTGGGGCTCGGGCAGGCTGCAGGACCCCTTCGCTCCCACTTCCCCAGCGAATTCCCAGGGATGGATTTAGGGTTTCCCACCGCAGCGTAGGGCAGCACTGACATCTAGTGGTCTCAGTTTTCGGCATTGGAGCTGCTTCATTAGCAGCTCAAATAATTGTCCCAAGTGTTTTCTCTGCGCTAGAGCAAAAAGGAATAACTAAAACTCAGCCTGGAGGTGCAAATTTGGATGTGAAGCCGTTTGCAAAGCAAGGAGGGGACAGCAAAGCACCCCAGACTACCCCGAAAAGGGACAATTTTGCTGCTGCAGAGCGGGAACAGCAAAAGCAACGCGGGTCTCCTCCTGGGAGCCAAAAATCCCTGGGGAGCTGGGTGCGGGCAGGAGCAGCCCCGGGAAGGGCAGCAGAGCCCTGCAGGGCTGGGGACGCGGGGGAGCGGGGCACACGTTCCCAGGCTGTTTGATCAAAAGGGTCTTTAAACCCCAGAGGCTGAGCAGTTAATGGCTTTCACATGCTCAGGCAGCCCCTGGAAATGCGAGCTTTGCTGCCGGCGCATCCTGCGAGGGGTTAAGCAGCAGGAACCCCAAAAAGTCTTGAGGCTCCTCACCCTTTGCTGGGAGGGGATGCTGAGGGCAGCCAGGTGAGGTTTTGCTCTTTCCCGGCGCATTTTTGGGCTGGTTCGGAACGAGCCCGGCGAGGCTACAAGAAATTCCAGCTACTGTTCGCAGAGCGAGCCGCTAATGAAAACCAGCGGTGCCTCCGAGCTAGGATGCGAGCGTGTCCTCCCAGATCAAAGATGCAGCTCGGGGAGCGGAAAGCCGGCCATAAATGACATCCTGTTGCCTGCAGCCTTACCTGTCCCAGTTCAGGGCAGGGGCAGCGCCTCGCTGCCTCCCCTCCTCGGGAAGGGAAAGCCCTGGAGCTGTCGGCACCTTCAGCGGGGTTTGGGGTTGGAGGAGGCAGAGGCAGGGCTCACTTTTGGCTTCTGGTCCTGGCTCTGCGCTTTCCTGCTGGTGTTAAAACACAAACTGCCCCCAGCCCGATGAAGCTGCAGAGGGAGGAAAACCCACCCGAGTCAGTGGAAAGAAGCAGCTCCAGCTGCAGCCGGAGCTCCCTGCCAGGAGAGGAGGGGGTGCTGAGACCAGCCAAGGCTCTGGGCTTTGAGGAACCCCATTAGATATGGAGACATGTCCCAGACCAAACTCCGCTGTACCTGGGCTTGCTTCCCTCTTTTCCTGCAGTTTTCTGGCACTCAACATCTGGATTTTAAGTGTCCCCTTCCACACCTGTGTCCACCACAAGCATCCAAAATTGGTTTTAATTATTATTTCCCCCTTTGCTAGGGTCACAAACCCCACACTTTAAAAGGAGTGACCAGAGCTGTGGCCCCAGGGCAGCTGCTGTTTGAGCCAGGGCTGTGTGTTTACTGTAGGCAGGGATGTGGCTTTTAAGAGGAGATAATAGGGAGGGGGATGTAAATACATCCTGGAGCGAAGGGAGAGCAGCCTTTAACTCCACTCCTCATTACTCAGCACTGGCCACACTCTGGTTTCCCAGGAACCCTGAGGTGCCAAACGCCGCTTGGCTCTTTCAGTTCTTTTAAAGACTGGGCAGAGGGGGGAAAAAACCAAGTGTGGAGGAGCTGGTCCTTGGGCTGGCACACCCAGCAAGGCTAAAGGAGCACGGCCCAAACCCTGAGCGTGGGCTACTCCCTGTGAGGGTTTAACAGGATGGATCCACCACCCCCAAACTGCTGCAAGGACGTCCCAGGATGTTCCAGTGCCGCACAAAGGGCGCTCCAGAGGCCAGGAATTTCATGAACTAATGGAGAAGAAGGGCTTAAGAGGAAAGAAGGAGTAATATATACGTAGTGATTTCCCTTCCTCCGTGACAGCCGGTTGTTCCCTGCTTCTGAGTGGGTTCCCAGCCAGGGACAGAATGTCTCTGCCCATCTCCTGGTGCTTGCCACGCTGAGCACACAGCAGCTACCTGGATTTACAGCCTGAGACTTTTATATTGCTGCAGGGTTTTTCCTCGCTGCAAGGGAATTCAGTCGGGAATTCCAACTCAGTCTGAAACGGGGTGAATGAAGGGTTTGTAAATGAAGTCACACAACACACACACAGAGAAACAAACAAAGAGCAACAGGAGGAGCTGGCTGCATTGTATTATTCTCATAGGTATTTTCCACAAGTCTGATTTAGCCGGTTGTCTTATTCCAGCTGGAGGAAACCCCATGTGGATCCAGCTGTTGGTTCAGAGCATGGAAACTCCTTGTACGTGTGTCCTGTTGGAGTTTTCCCTGGGGCCCAAAGCCCTCTCTGTCCCTGGCTAAGGGAAGGACATGGGAACCTCCCGAGGCACCTTCTGAAACGAGATGCTCTCCAGCTGGCATGGGCCCGCTGCTTTCCAGCTGGGAGGGGATGCTGGGGATCATCCCTCCGGAGTAAACCCTTCCGCGGTGGTGGAGGGGGAAGTGTGCCAGCCCCTCTCCCGGGGCTGGAGCCCCCGAGCCTGGCAAGGATCAGACCCGCGCGGGCAGCGCCAGGGCTGAAGAAGGGGTTAATGCTGGGAGAGCAACAGGCTGGAGTTGACACTTTGGAGGCAGGCGGGGCTGCCGGCGCCTGATTGGCCTCAAATCGTATCCAAAAGTGGGTTGGGGTTTTTTTTTTTAGTTTTTTTCCCCCTTTTTTTTTTTTTTCCTTCTCTGCGTCTTCGTCTTCTTCTTCTATATATTTTTTTTTTTCTTTCCCTGGTTTGGGGGGATATTTTTGATTTTTTTTTCCTCTTTTTTTTTTTTGGTCGGGTTTTTTTTTTTTTGTTTTCTCTCTCTCTCTTTCACTTCTCCTCCTCCCCCAGGCTCCGGCTGGCAGGGGAGGGGAGTGGGGAGAACAGCGAGAGATCAAAAATAAACCTCTTATGTCAAAGCCGGGGGGAGAAAGTATAAATACAGCGGGCTCGGCGGCCGGCGCGGAGGCTGCGGGGGAAGAGCCCGGGGGGTGCGGGGCCGTGCCGTGCCGTGCCGTGCCGGGATGGGGCGGCGGGCGCTGCTGGGCGGCCGGGCCCCGCTCCACCTGCCCGGGAGCGGGCCCCGGGCCCGGCCCCGAGCCGCCCCGCAGGGCGCCGCGCTTCGTGTCGCAGGCCCGCTACGTGGAGACGCTGCTGGTGGCTGACGCGTCCATGGTGCGCTTCTACGGGGAGGACGTGGAGGTAAGGGCTGGCTGGCCGGCCGCCGTCCCCCGGCCCGCAGCCGTCTGGCCGCGCTGGTGCCCGTCCCGTCTGTCCCCGTCCCGTCTGGCCATGCTCCCGTCCCGTCTGTCCCCGTCCCGTCTGGCCATGCTCCCGTCCCGGCCGCCGCTCCGCTCCTCCCAGCTCCGCTCCTGCGCTCGCACTGCCTGTCTGCAGCCTTCATCCCTCCGTCCTCCCTGCTGCCTGCCTGTAGCCTTCATCCCTCCGTCCTCCCTGCTGCCTGTCTGTAACCTTCATCCCTCCCTCCACTGCATCCCTTCATCCCGCTCCGTCCTGTCCCATCCCCGCTGCCTCTCCTCCTCCTCCTGCAGCCCTTCTGCTCTCCGTCCCTCCTGTCCTGCCCGCTGCCGGGTCCCCCCGGGACGCCGGGGGCAGCCTGGGGTGAGCGGGAGGCTCGGTGCCACCGTCCCTCGCTGTGCGGGCTCGGTCCGAGCTGCGGTGCGGGTCCGCGGGGCTCTCGCAGTGCTCGGGAGCCGTTCCCACACCCAGCCAGCCCGTCCCTGCGCACACCGGCTCTGTGATGTCCCTGCAGCCCGGTGTCCCCAAGGCGGGGACAGGGCGGGTTGGTGCCCTCCTGGTACGGGGAGAGAGCCGCGCTGCGGAGCAGTGGCTTTAACTCCGCTTTAACTCCCTTCGAGCGGGAGCCGGGGGCAGACAGCGAACGGAGCAGGGGCTGAGCGATGAGCATCCCGCTCCGGAGCCACCTGTTAGCGCTGAGCAGAGGGAGGAACAGCCCCTCGGCCACCAGCGCCTGCAGCTCTGCCCTCCTGTAACGCTCCCTGCGGAGACCCTGCCCCGAGCAGGCTTTGGGGAGAGCCCTGGAGCAGAGTCCGAGGTGCCTCAGCCCCCCACACCATCTCCAGGGCTGTCCATGTGCCTCATTCATCAGCTCCGGGTCATTTTTCAAAGCCAGCTCCCCACCCCTACCCTGCAGGGATGGGCGCTCCGAATTCAGGTTTGCACCCTTGGAAATGCTCTGAGGTCTTTGCAAGGGATAATCGTGCATTGAATCTGCTCCTTCTCGGGTTGTTTGGGCTCGGGGCTGGGAGAAGCGTCCTTGAAGCAGAAGCTCAGCAGGGAGCAGTTGGGAAGCTGAAACCAGGGGCTGCACTTTGGCAGCCTGGCTTTGCCACTTCTACCGGCTCTATCCTTCCCCTAGGGGCTTCCCTGCTCATAACAAAGCAGTGTTTTAATTCCAGCCCTGCTCAGGCCAGGCTGGCCCTTGGCAAATGCTAAACTTTGGAGCTTCAGCTGATTTCAGCTGCTCAGCATCACTCTGGTTTTGCCCTTTGCTTGGTTTTTACACTGAGCCAGGCTGGCAGGAGCAGGTAGCAGAGGGTCAGTGAGTGAGGGGTGATGCACTTGGATGTACCCCGAGTGCTCAGAGGGCTCAGAAAAGAGTTTGAAGTGGAGTAAGCTCAATTTTTAAGCAACAGACATATCATTGGTGGTGGGAATTACTCTCCCCATAGCGTGAAGTGGGTCTCTGATTTCCCAAGAGGGCAGAAAAAATAACACAGTGAACCTTCTGCACCCAGCTGGGCACCCAGTGGCTTGAAAGCAACACCCAAGGGTGTCTACATTGCTAGAAATAAAGTGATTTATTTGGACTGGAGGAAATCCTGATGATGCCCAGCTTGAGCTGGGGAAAAAGCAGCAGCCCTGTGGGTAATCATGTGAAGGCAGCAGGAGAGGAAATGGCACCTGCACAGGACCAAGGGGCTGGAACTGGGGCACCCTGCCCTGGTTTGGCTGCCCCAGCCCTGGGCTGGGTGATGCTGCCTGTTGGCTCCCATTTCACCATCATTTCCTCAGCCCCCAGAGCAATATCTTCACATCACCTCTCAGGGAGGGGAAGGAAACCTTCAAAGTTCTTGTTTTGCATGAATAGAGTAATAGCATATTAAAATATTGGGGAGAAAACTTCCACCAGCTCTGGTGCAGCAGCTAAAAAACAACAACCAAAAAACCACCTGCTGTGTTTCTGTGTCTTTTGTTCTCTGGAACAAGAATGCAGGGAGCAGCACAGCAATCTTGCTTCTCCCTAAATACCTTTCTTGTGGGGTGAAAGAAGCAGTGGCAAGTGCTGGTGAGATCTAGGAGAGATGCCCAATGAGTAAAAATGTTGAGTCAGAACAAACCATATTTATATAATGACTTTTCTTCCTGTAACCACACTTTAATTACCAAATATTTATTAAAGGTCACCAGCATTGTTTGTATTCCCAGTTATTTTCTTGCATAAGTTGTAACAGCTCGAGCAGAAGAGTCACCCCAAGATGCACTCAAGCGTTGAGAGTTATAATCAATGCCATGCTTGTGGTGGGAAAATGCTGTTCATGATTTATTTCCCATCAATTTGAGCCTTACAACTCAGCTGTTAACCTAATTCAGACAATCAGAGCTTATTCCACCTTCATCAATACTTTTATGTAAACCAGGAGGGAATGGTGAAGTGAGAGCAGAACTAAACCTGAAATTCGGGGGTTTAATCATTGTTTGGGCTTGGTAATTGGGGTATTGGGGGGGCATCAGCAGCAGGACAGTGCTGGGCAGTAAATCCTGGGGGATGTGGCAGGGTTCAGCCTGCAGGGACTGGGAAGAGCCCTGTGATGTGGGGATGTCCAGGCTGGACACGGGAGCTTTTGCATTTTTCTTGCAGAGGATCCCAAGTGCTTGAAAACAAAGGGACTGTGAGCGTCACTCACAGAGTGAAGTGGGGTTTGGAGCAGGGGAACTGAGGCAGGGACAGGGCTAATCCTGTCTGTGTGCAGGAGGGCTGAGCACCTGCAGCTGGGCTGCACTTGTGAGGATGCTCTGCATGGCTGGGGGACGTTTGCCAGGACACCTAAAGCACCAGGCAGCTCCAAACCCCAGCTGCAGCATCTCCAGCCAGTTGGCAGCCAAAGGGGATTCCTGTGGTGGGGTTTCTCCAGTCTCTTGGGTGCAGATGAGACGCATTTCCAGGCTTTCCTCCGCAAGCACAATGGCTGTGATCCCCTTTCCCTCCTCCTCTCTGAGTGAGGAATCTGCCCTTCCTGACTCCCAGGGCTGGGAATGGCTGAGGACCACAGCAGAATCAGATCAGTCTGGAAAAGCTGGGATTCCTTGCTGACTCTGTTTTTTCCAGGCAGATTGATGAGGTTTTAGGAGTGCTGTTGCAAACCCTTCCCTTTGAGACCAGACAGGAGTGCAGGGCATTGCCAGGGTCCTGCTGCCAGCTCTCCCACTCCCACATGGACTGGAGGTAAATCCAAAGCTGGGGCTCTCCCAGTCCCACATGGACTGGAGGTAAATCCAACGCCAGGGTTCTCCCAGTTCCACTTGGACTGGAGGTAAATCCAACGCCAGGGCACCCCACATGGACTGAAGGTAAATCCAAAGCTGGGGCTCTCCCCAGTCCCACATGGACTGGAGGTAAATGCAAAGCCAGGGCACTCCCACATGGACTGAAGGTAAATCCAAAGCCACCCTGGCGCCCCAGGTCCCCTCGTGTCTGGTTCTTAGGCTGCTTTAGGGTATTCTGCAGTGTGAGTGGGTAAATTCACTTAATCCCATGAAGAAAGAAGCCAGCCCCTCCTAAGCCCATCCCGAAGGCAACTGGAGTGGGATTAAAGGGGATGCAGCGTGCTGCTGCCATCCACCAGCTTTTCTTCTGGGATTTGTCCTCTGAGGGTGACCCAGAGCCTGCATCCTCTGTGGGGCAGGGGGCTGAAGGAGCAGGCAGCCTCCCTAGAGGTTTCTCTGGCTGGGGCACTCGCCTCACACCAGGATATTCAACAGCTGCTGCATTTCAGGGCTGCAGAATGAAATGTGCTGGCTCCCACTAAGGCAAATCCATGCTGGCTCCCGAAGTGGAGCACTCCTGCCCTGGGATGCTCTCAGGATGGGGTTTTACTCCATCTCTGCCTCTGTGGAGGTGGGGACAGTCTGGATGTGCCTCAGTTTCCCCTGCCCTGAACAGGGGTAATTGCTGCTTATGTGGTTCAGCCCCAAATATCCAGCAAAGAGGGGAAGAGAAGGGAGGGAAATCATGTGGCAAACAGAGCAGGGATGGGCAGAGAGCCGGGCAGGCAGGAGGGCAGCCAGGCTGGCAAGGTGTGCCACTCTCCCCTGGCTTGCCCCCCATTTCCCTTGGCTGCCTGACACATTTTTGTGAGGAATTCTTGGCCCCAGGAGGAGGCTGGCAGGGCAGCCAGAGCCCTGGGAGAAAGGACAACCTGAGATGTTTTTACCAGCAGATTTTTTAAAGCTGGGCAGCCTTTACATCTAACCCTGGTGTTGCTCCCTTCCATCTGCCTGTGCTCCAGAATCTCAGCATTTCTTTCTTCTTTTCCCCCTCTGCAGAAATGCTGGTGTTGAGGGAGAAAGCAGGGGAAAAACCCAACTAAATCCAACCAGCAAGCAATCCTACAGCCCCAGGCTGGGCTGAGCACTGCTCCCCACACACTGGGGAGGAGGCAGGTCATGCTGGGGTGTTCTGTGGGTGCTCCCTGCTGTCCCTCTGTCCTGGGTGGGTCCAGCAGCATTAAATCATTCTCTGCATACCACAATAATAGTGCCTGTGTAAGAGCAGTTTCACCCATCAAAATAATAATAATTAAAAATAAATGCCAGGCTTCAGCTTCTGAGTGGTTCCCATGAAAGGGAATGCAATAAGAGACTTTGCAAGAGCCTGTATCAGAAAACTCAGTCCTTCAGTGAGGGTAAAGACAATCACTTCAGTTCCCCTTGCTCTGACTTGTATTTTTCCCTGTCCCTCTGCCTGTGCTGTTTGCTGCTGGAGGGCAGTGCCTGGCTCAGGGCAGGGCTCTCCGAGACACAGTGATGCTGTGGCAGGAGGATCTCAGAGCTGCTGTGTGGCAGACAAAAGTCACCCCTCCTCATTTTTTAGGGGGAATTTGATATTGAGAGCAGAGGGAGCCCAGGATTGCAGCTGGGGGAAAAGGGGTAGGAGGTTTGTGGGGCATCACCCTCCACAGTGCCTTGACATAAATGCACTGAAGGGATACTCCACAACCCTCTGTGGTTCACACTGGTGTCCTCTGCCCCCAGAGCAGTAAGAGGCTGATTTTCCAGCTGTGTTTACCAGACACCCTCCCAGATCTCCCAGGATGCTGGTTGGAAGTGGCAGGGAAGCTCCTTGTGCCTGCAGGGCTGCAGTGCCTGGCAAGAAGGCAGAGACCAGTGTGTTTGCAGCCCTGGGCTCCTCAAACCCAGGCCAAAACACTGCCCTGCACCTGATCCCAATCCCCACATCCTCAGCCTCGGTGCTGGGAAGGAAACCCTGGAGGAGGCAGCATTCCCTGCTGCGTGGATGGTTGAGCCAGAGCCGGTTTGCAAAGGCAGAGGGAGGATGGGACCAGCAGGATTCAACCCTTCCCCTGCCAGTTGTTGGTCTAGAGCACTCAGCTGGCCTCTCCTGAGCCCTGAGGATCTGTAATTTGCTTTTGGCCATGGCTTCAAGCCCTTGGCTAAGCCAAGGCAGTGCAGGTGGATTGCTGCTCTCCCCAGAGCAGTCAGGGTCCATCTGAAACCCAACCCATTCCTGCATGGGCCAGGGATGGGTATAAATAGACACCAGATGGTGGAACAAGTGGATTTGACCTTTTAATCTTCACTAAATAGCTGTTTGTTCAGTTTGCTTTCCATCTTCCTTTTCCAGACACAGGGAAGGTGGACAGATGTTTTCCAAGTCCCTCTGTTCCTACTGCTGAAAGAGGTTTTTGGCTGGATGTACCCCTGAGGATGTGAGGGCTGGTGTCCTGGGGGATTTGTGGTATGAACTGAGATCTCCCAGGTCAAATCTACTGCTATGGACAGAAACCTCTAATGGGTTAGAAAAGGACACAGATTTATTCCCTTGGAAATGAGGGATGATCTCAGGATGAGCAGCTCCAGCGCAGAGCATCCTTCTAGATCTTCAGGGGCCTAATTTTAAGAAGGCTTTGTGATATTTTTACAAGGTTACCAATGGACTTTCCCCACAGGGTGAACAATTCCCCCAGGTTTCATGGAGCAACCCCTTGTGGGGGTCTCTCCTCAATTTCTTGTCTCTGCAGTGACTTCTCCGTGACATGAGTTGCATGGATGTGAGTCATGGCGTGGAGATCTGGCCAGTCTAAATAAACCAGTCTATTCCCTGCTCCCAGCAGCCTTGCTGGGGCCTGCCCTTGGATAATGAGCTGGGGAGGACTTGGGATATGTCTTGTTGAAACAAAACATCTGTTTACGTGGAGCTGCCAGTGGCAGGATAAAATGTGGCAGAATAATTTAAAATAGCCACAAGTGCCCTGGGCAAGTGGCTCTTGGTGCAGCAAATATGCTGTATCTCACTCAACATCTCCCTCATTTGCTAGGAAAACAGCATTTTGTGTCTCAGAAAATGGCATTGTCCTGGCAGTACCGTGATGGATGAGCACACGGAGTCAGCTTTGCTGAGGAAATGTATTTTGGGTGAAACTTGGCTATCAGAGAGGGCTCCCATCGAGTCCTTCCACTTTAATTAGGCTCTGAATTGAGACCGCAGGGTGTAATTTGTCTGGGGAGGAGAGAAGCCACTTTCTCTTTCCCAATACCATATTGTGTAATAGCTGCATTTTTTACTCCTGACTCGGGGCTGTGAGTGGTGCCAAGCAGAGGAGGAATTTTGATGCTCTGATAAGATGTTTACATCAGCCTAAACATCGCTGGCGCTTTTGACATATTAAGTAATCCCTGGTCATCACCAGGCAGGGGATGCTGCTGGGCAAAGTCTTGGCTGTCAGAGTGTTTTAGTCCCAGTTTGTCGCCAAGGATGCTGGGTTCAAACCCTGTGACCAGCACAGGCAGAAGTTTTACTGGCTGGTTTCACTCCAGCAAGGTGTGTGTGAGTTGGTTCCTGCCCTGGGGCAGCGAGGGCAGGGTTAATTCTTTGGGAATGTGCAGAGAACTCTCTAGAATGCTGAGGTTTTCCCCAAGGAATTTCTTCCAGAGGGATTTCTAGGTGCAGAGGGTTCATGGGAGAGGAGGTGTTTGGAGAAGGGGATGCAGGGCTTGTCCCCCAGCACAAGGTGTAAAGCATCACATACAGGCAAGGCAGCACTGAGTCCATCAGCCCATGGTCTGGACGTGATGGGCTTCATAAACGAGGCTGATTCTTTCTTTTCAAACAAAAACAATTGCCAGGTAGCAGAGTTTTTACCCAGGCTCTGCCTGCCTGTGTCTTCCCCCACAGAACCACGTCCTGACCCTGATGTCCATGGCAGCTCGCATCTACAAGCACCCCAGCCTGAGGAACTCCATCAGCCTGGTGGTGGTGAAGGTGCTGGTGGTGGAGGAGGCAGCAGCAGGGCCCGAGGTGTCTGACAATGGTGGGCTCACCCTGCGCAACTTCTGCAGCTGGCAGCAAAGGTTCAACCCCCCGAGCGACCGGCACCCGGAGCACTACGACACTGCCATCCTCCTCACCAGACAGGTCAGCAGCCAGGGAACGCCCTGCTGCAGAAGGGAGAGGGCTCAAGGCACCCTTGGAGGGGGAGAAGGGGGTTGATCGTGGAGGTGGATGCCCCACTGTGCAAAGAATGCAGCAAAGCAGTTGGGGTGGTTTTATTTGGGGTGCAGACCTGTTGCAGGACAGGCTGACTTGTAGTGGACATCAATCCAGTTATAAATAAGAAATCCAGCCCAGTGCCATAAACCAGCCTCTGGGCTGACTGACAGAGGTCTCAACCAACAGCAGCTCTGCTAAAATAACAAGCATTTGACTGGCTCAGAGTCTATGGGATGTAGAGATTAGACAATGGCTGTTTAGAGCCAGAGCTTTGAACTGCCTGTAAAAGCAAGCCCCAAAAAATTAAACAGGCTGTTGGGCTGATGAACTACTCAGGTCTGTTGTGTGTTACGTCTCAGACATGTGAACATCACATTGTACCACAGAGCAGCAGTGGGGTGCTCACAGAGATGTTGGGGCTGAACGTGGGGCTCCCTCTCCCTGCTGACCTCTCCCCCTGCCTGGCACTGACAGGACTTCTGTGGCCACCAAAGCTGTGACACGCTGGGCGTGGCCGATATCGGCACCATGTGCGACCGCAACAAGAGCTGCTCCGTGATCGAGGACGAGGGCCTGCAGGCAGCCTACACCCTGGCTCATGAACTGGGTAACACATCCCTTCCCGAGGGGAAGTCTGCTGCTTCCATCCTGCTGCTGGGAGGGGTCGTGGCACAGCCCAGCACCAGCATCTCCTGGCTGGGGGTCACTCACTGAGCCTTGGGGAGCTCCTGGAACTGACAAATGCTGGTTTGCACCAGTAGAAACACTAAGAAGTGCCCAAATTGGTGTAAATTGGTGCATTTGCACCAGTTCAGGAAGCATTTCTTCACTGGAAGGGTTGTCAAGCATTGGAAGGGGCTTCCCAGGGAGGTGGTGGAGTCCCCATCCCTGGAGTTGTTCAAGAAATGCCCGGACATGGCACTCAGTGCTCTGGGCTGGGTGACAAGGTGGGGATCAGTCACAGGTTGGACTTGAGGATCTTGGAGATCTTTTCCAACCCTAGCGATTCTATGATTTACCTGTTGTGATGAGCTCAGGCATGGGATCAAGCACATCTCTGCCTTGGTTTGCCATTCCTGCACTGACTAATTTTTACGCAGAGAAGCTGTGGCTGCCCCATCCCTGGGAACATTCAGGGTCAGGTTGGACAGGGCTTGGAGCAACCTGGTCTAGTGGAAGGTGTTCCTGTTGATGACAGGAGGTGGAACAAGATGAGCCTCAATTCCCTTCCATCCCCAAAAAAATTCTAAAAATTTGGGCTGCTTTGCCCTTGCACACAGCAGGCTGTACCACTGAGCTAGACCAAGCAGGTTTTTATTCCTTCTGATTTATGGAAGCAAACAGCTTTGGCAGACATAGGAGCTGCTTGATACCTTACAGATGGTCCCCCACACCATCTGCTGAGGAGCAGGAGCCGGGCTGGGGAGCTCAGCTGTGCCATGCCCTCTGCTCCCAGGCCACGTGCTCAGCATGCCCCACGACGACTCCAAGAACTGCGAGCGGCTCTTCGGGCCCCTTGGCGAGCACCACGTGATGGCCCCGCTCTTCATCCACTTGAACAAGAGCCAGCCCTGGTCCCCTTGCAGTGCCATGTACCTCACCGAGTTCCTGGATGGAGGGCATGGTAAGTCTTCAGTCTGTTGTGTTTGTGGGGTTCCCAGGTGAAGGGAGGAATGATGAATCTGACTCCATGTTCCTAGAAGGATAATTTATTATTTTATGATACTATGTTATATTAAAGAATACTAAACTGTACTATTCTAAAGAATACAGGAAAGATATTTACAGAAGGCTAAAAGATAATAATGAAAACTCCTGACTCTTTCCGGAGCCTCAACACAGCTTGGCTGTAATTGGCCAATGAGTGAAAACAACTCACAGCAAAAACCAATGAAACAATCACCTGTGGATAAACAATCTCCAACCACATTCCAGAGCAGCAAAATACAGGAGAAGCAAATGAGATAATATTGTTTTCCTTTTTCTCTGAGGCTTCTCAGCTTCCCAGGAGAAGAATCCTGGGCAAAGGGATTTTTCCAGAAAATATGACTGTGACACCAGTCAGCTACAGCATCTCTCAGAACAGCCTTTTCTAGTTCAGGCTCTTTGCCATGCCTGGAGGGGCTGTGGGGTGAAGGGGGAGTCAAACCAGACCGTGGACAGAGGTGTGGGGTGCCCTGCTTGGTGCAGTCAGTGGCATCAAGCCCTGAGAGCTCCATGTCCAGCCTAACTCTTGAGCCCTGCCCAGGTGACTGCCTGCTGGACGCGCCGGCCGAGCCCGTGTCCCTGCCAGCCGAGCTGCCCGGCCAGAGAGCCCTGTACAGCCTGGACCAGCAGTGCCAGCAGATCTTTGGCAAGGACTTCCAGCACTGCCCCAACACCACGGAGGAGGACATTTGTGCCCAGCTGTGGTGCAGGACGGGCAGTGGGGAGCCCCTGTGCCACACCAAGAATGGCAGCTTGCCATGGGCTGATGGAACGCCCTGCAAAGCCGAGGGGCTGTGCTGGGATGGGCGCTGTGTGCAGCAGGAGGCCCTGAAACCCCAGGTAAGGGGACACTGGGGAATGGTGTGTCCAGGTGCACTCCAGGCACCCACCAAAGCCTTCCTCTCACTCCCCTCCACAGCTGGACAGGGAAGGTTCATGAGTTGAGATAGGAAGGTTCATGAGTTGAGATGAAGACTGAGGAATTACTCACCAATCACCATCACAGGCAAAACAGGCTCAAGTTAGAGCTGTTAATTGAATTTATTAGTTACAAAATCAGAACAATGACAAGTAAAATAAGACCTTAACACTTTTCCCCCACACCTCCCTCCTTCCCAGTTCTCCCTTTTGTCTCCAGTGGTGCAGGGAGGCAAGGAATGGGGGTTGTGGTCAGCTCATCACAGGTTGTTCTTGCTGCTGCTCAGGGAGAGGAGCAGCAGTCCTTCCCCTGCTCCAGCGTGGGGTCCCTCCCATGGGAGACAACTCTCCACAGATTTCTCCATGACTCCTTCCCATGGACACGTTCTCCACAAACTGCTGCAACATGGGCCACTCTTCCCCAGGGTCAGTCCTTCCAGGACAGGCTGCTCCACTGTGGGTCTTCCACAGGCTCCCAAATCCTTCCAGCATGGGTTCCTCTCTCCGCAGGTCCTGCCAGGATCCTGCAGCAGCTCAGGTTTCCCACGGGGTCACAGCCTCTTTCAGGCATTCCCCTGCTCTGGCCTGGCTTCCTGCATGGGCTGCAGGTGGATCTCTGCACCCCCATGCCCTCCACGGGCTGCAGGGGCAAAGCTGCCTCACAATGAACTTCCCCACAGAATTTTGGGGAAATCTCAGCTCCAGTACTGGAGGAATCCTTGCCTTTCCTCCTGCACTGCCCTGGGGGTCTGCAGAGCTGTTCCTCTTACATTCTCACTGCTCTCTTCTCTGCACCCAATTACATCTGCCTAATAACTTTTTTTTCCTTCTTCTTAAATACATTATCCCTAAGGTCAGCACCACATCTGCTGGGCTCAGCCTTGGCCAGTGGTGGCTCCATCCTGGAGCTGCCGTTGGCTCTGCTGGACACGGGGGGAGCTTCTGGCAGCTGCTCACAGAAGCCACCCCTGAATCCCCTCCACAAACGCCATGCAGCTGGGCTAGGGCTTGACCCTTTGGGATTTTCAAATCTCTGACCCCACCCCTGCTGTCTCTTTGACTGGCTTTGGATTGGGCTGATTTATTTCTGGATGTCTCTCCTTGGTTAATATTTATTACTGGTGAGTCCAGCTCAGACAAAAGTCTGCTACTGAGCCGTGGGCTGGTCTGACCAAAACAACCAGTGCAAATCTGCAATTAAATCATGACTTTTTGCCCTGCTGGGGAAATTAGCAGCAGTTTCAGAGTCAGTCAGCAAAGTACTCAAAGCCCAGCTTAACTTGAAGCATGTGAACCGACCGGGGGAAGTCGGACTGACTTTGTGTGAAGTACATGCCAAGGCGCTTTTCTGGATCAGGGCTGGGGGACATTTTAGCGTTGCTCCAGCCCTGGGAGGGACAGCAGGGCATGGGCAGGCTCGGGGCTGGGCCCAGCAGCCTCTCGTGGCTCTTGCAGGCAGCGCTGGACGGCGGCTGGGGCCCCTGGGGCGCGTGGGGCTCCTGCTCGCGCAGCTGCGGGGGAGGCATCCAGTTCTCGCACCGCCACTGCGACAGCCCCCGGCCCCGGCACGGCGGCAGCTACTGCGAGGGCCAGAGAACCAGGTACCAGTCCTGCCACACCCAGGAGTGCCCGCCGGATGGTAAGGATGGCAGCGCCCAGCGCCCTCTCGGCTCCCACGCCTGCTGCTCCACAATGCCTTGCAGGGATTGCTCTGCCCTGGATATTCATGTCTGGGGGAGCAACAGCTTCCTGCTGGGGGCTGTGACCTTCTGTGGCTGATGGAAGGAGGGTGGGATCCCTCCTTCGTGGCATTCCTCCTCTGCTTGCACTCTAACTCTCACTATCCTAACCTCACTCCCACATCTCTCTGATGGCAGGAACAGCGGTTCCTGCCAGCTTCCCGTGGATTTTGGGCCATGTTTCACCTTTCCTTTCAGGGAAAAGCTTTCGGGAGCAGCAGTGTGAGAAGTACAACAGCTACAACTTCACCGACCTGGAAGGGAATCACTTGGAGTGGGTTCCTAAGTACGCCGGAGTGTCCCCACGAGACAGATGCAAACTCTTCTGCCGAGCCCGAGGGAGGAGCGAATTCAAAGTCTTTGAGGCCAAAGTAAGATTCCTGGAGATGGGAATCTCCAAAGTAAGACTCCTGGAGGTGAGAATCCCTCCTGTTTACCCCATGTCAGAGCTGATGCCCTCGTTCCTCCTCTGTCCCCTCCCAGGTGATCGATGGGACGCTGTGTGGCCCAGAGACCCTCTCCATCTGCGTGCACGGGCAGTGCATCAAGGCTGGCTGTGATCACGTCATTGGCTCCTCCAAGAAGCTGGACAAGTGCGGGGTGTGCGGTGGCAATGGCTCCACGTGCAGGAAAATATCCGGCTCGCTCAACAGATCCAAGTGAGGCACCAGGGAGAAGGTTCTGCAGGGCTGGGCTGTGGGAGAAACACCAGCATCCTCTCTCATTCCCCTTTTTCTATCACTAAAGTTGTGGGCTAGGAATGTTTTGGGATCCAAGCCAGCATCCTCAGCTGGCTGGCATTGCAAGAGCCTGGGCTCCTCCCCAGACTCTGAGACTTAAGCTCAGTTTATTTTGGGGCAGAATTATACAAGCCAAGTAGAGCTTATTTCCTAAAATAATAACTGATGTGATGGGCTTGGTACACCACTGCAAATCAATCTGCTGCCCCAATGAGTTTATAAAGCACATTTCACATCAGTGCACTGAGTTGGACACATATTCAAGGGCTGATTGTGATATAAATGTTCAATAACTTTTCCCTGGGCTTGGGGTGAATTTGAATGCTGGGACAAGGGCACTGGGGCAGTCACGTCCCTCACCCAACAGATTTGGGAATTCTGCTTTGCCAGAGAGCAGAATTTAAGGCTTTTGTTGGAAAACCGTAACAGAAGCCCAACCATCCAGTTCCATGCAGCGAGGTGACTCACACAGTCAAATTAGATTTCCTAAATGGTTTCCTTCCAGGGAACAGCTGAAACAGGGCTTCCACTCTCCTATGAGTTGTTTGTGGTTGACTAAATGGAGATTAGCACAGGAGCTACAGCCAAGAAGAGATCCCATTAAGATCAGGGTGAGGGAGGCCAGGGTGACGGAGAGCAGAGTTTGACTCAAAGGCTTTTTTCCAAAATACTCTGAACCTAATTACTGACCGCAGCATCCACCACGGGGATCCGTGGAAAATGATCCTGTGCTGGCCCCACAGTGTGAGTCACAGTGCTGAGGGCTCAAGTGAAACCTTCCACGTGCTGTCCCAGGAGCTGGGGCTCCAGGGATGGGCTTTGGCTGGCTCTGCAGGAAAACCTTTCCCTGGCATGGGAATGTCCTCTGTATCCTCCAATGGGATTACTTCTGCATTGTAGTAGTGGCTGCAAAACCCTTCAAAAAGTGAGCTGAGAGTGTAGTGACTCCCTCCTGTTCTGTTGTTCCACATCTATATCTCTATCTGTACCTACATCTGTATTATCTTTGTCAATAGGTAATGTCACCCTTCAGCATCACCTGTGACAGGCTTTCAATCCCAAACACTTCACCATTTCCAAACACAGGGAGCAGGGGGAATTTCCCACCTAGGCTGGTAATCACAGGGCTGTTCATTTGATTGCATCACTCATTTTCATACGTAATTCAGAGAAATCTTCCAGCTGAGCTCACATCTAGAACATCTGCAGTATTTCTGACTCTTGAGTGCTCAGGGTTACAGAGGGATGGCTTCAGAGCCAGGATCCTGAGTGCTGTTCCTTACAGCAGTGAGTGTGCTCTTAGTAAACCTTGCAAAATAACCGTGTCCCTTTGCCCCGTGCAGATACGGCTACAATGACATTGTCACCATCCCCGCCGGAGCCACCAACATCGACATCAAACAGCGCAGCCACCGAGGGGTGCGGCACGACGGCAATTACCTGGCCCTGAAGACCCTTGAGGGCAAGTACCTGCTCAATGGAGACTTTGCCATCTCAGCCATGGAGCAGGACATCCTCATTAAGGGCACCATCCTGAAGTACAGCGGCTCCATGACCACTCTGGAGAGGCTGCAGAGCTTCCGACAGCTCCCGGAGCCCCTGACCGTGCAGCTGCTGACGATTGCCAGCGAGGTCTTCCCACCCAAAGTCAAGTACACCTTCTTCATCCCCAAGGACGTCCCTTTCAGCAAGCAGAAGGGCAAAGAGAAGAAGTCAGTCAACGTCATCCGACCGATGCTGACCTCCCAGTGGGTGCTGGGGGACTGGTCCGAGTGCTCCAAGACGTGTGGCTCCGGCTGGCAGCGGCGGACGGTGGATTGCCGGGATGTGGAGGGTCAAACCTCCTCTGCCTGCAACAGATCCCTCAAGCCTGAGGACATCAAGCCCTGTGGAGACGTGCCCTGCCCTCTCTGGCGCCTGGGTCCCTGGTCCCCCTGCTCCCAAACGTGCGGCGAGGGCGTGCGGACGCGCAGCGCCTCCTGCATTGACTACGCCGGGAAAATCACCGCCCCCGAGAAGTGCAGCTCGCCGGGGCCAGCGCCGGCCACCGCGGCCTGCGTGCTGCAGCAGTGCTGAGCCACGCCGGACTGCTCGGGGCCAGGGCTGCAGGGCTTCCACCACGCTGGGGCAGGACAGCAAGGGTGCCGTGGACCGCTCTCCAGTGGTTCGTCCCCACCGCGTCGATGTCTACCTCAGAGGGGAGAATAACGGCAGCAAAACAGGGAGGAATCACTTCTTTTCCTTTCTTTCTTCCTTTTCTTTCTGGCTGGCTGCTCGCAGGCAAGTTGTAACTTAAAGGGAAAAATAGGCATATCTGTAGGGTGTTTCCAAAGAGCTGGATGTGGTTGCAGATTGCTTTTGTAGGGTTTGCTGGGGTTTGGCACTGGAGAAAATGGGGAGCCTGGTTTTGCTCTCTCCCCATCCCAGCTGCAGGTCAAGGAGGTCCGGGGTGGATGTCTTTGCTGATAGAACTGGGATTTCTTCACAAAAGGCATGGAATGGGTTGCCATCCCCTCCCTGCAGCAGTGTGGGTGTCCTTGAGCATGAGGAGTGTTTTATCAGCTGTGGGTTACACTTGGGAGATAAATTGCTTGTGTGAATGGGAGAAGGAATAAGCTGAGAGCCAGATCCTAGCATGAATCAGGCAGGAGGACAGGTGAGAGGTGGTTTCTGCTGGATTTATAATCTACAAGGTGACAAACCTCTGTCTCCAAACACCCCCAGCACCTGCGGCCATTCCTAGAGCTGTTACCTCACACCTCTGTTTCCCCAGCTATAAAACCAAGGCTTAATTACACCGGATCTGTCTTACAGGGCCACTGTGAGGATTAATTAATTCCTAATTCTGCAGTGCTTTGACTGTGAAATGCCAGTTGTGATGCCCTCTGGAGCAGGCACTCTGGTGTGCCAGCATTTCCTTTCCCATCCTTGACTTTCAGTCCCCTGTGGGCCCATTTTTTCAGCTCTGCTGTAATTTTGGAGATAATTCACTAGCATGGTTCTGCAGCAGGGATGAGCCCAGGATCTGTAGATCATGCCAGAGGTGACCAGTGCTGCTCTTCACCTCTGCTTTCCTGGGATATTTGAGAATGCTCAGATCTGGTGCCAGCTCCAGCCTCGCTTGAGCAGTTCTCAGTCCAGAACCAAGCCTGGCAAAGCTGGAGCTGCTCTTTCCCGGTGGGAAGCAGCCCCAGCCCTCTCCCAGCCCAGCTGCTGCCTGGCCCCAGCACAGATGGCTGTTCAGACCCTGAACTTTGCCCTTTGCAAAGCAATTGCTGGCCATGTGCTGGCAGCAGCCTGTGCCTGGGGAGCAGGGATGGAATTTGGAAAGATTTTGCTGTTGCTGGATGAGCAATTCAGTATCTCCAGGCTCCTCTCATACCCTGCCTTGGCTTCCTTTTTGGCAGCAAAATGTTGAATTTCCAGTGGGATCTGCCTTTTTCTCATAGGAAGGGGAGGAGGGCTGGAATGTTTGATGTTTCAGATTCCCCATTCACATTTATGGAGCAAATCCTTTTCCTTGTCCCTTTTGCCTGAGCAAGCCAAGCTCGTGTGAGACCCTTTCCTGGCTGTGCAGACAGGTTTGGAATGGGATGGTGGGATGAGCTGCTCTGCTGCAGACAGAAACCTGAAACATGAAATATTTAATATTCCTGTTTTATCTCCCATATATGATTTCTATCAAAACCACAGGAGCTACAGCCCAGGATTGAGGGTATTGAGTGCTTGGTTCCTTTGTTTTTTTTAGGAAAGGAAAAAAACCTGAAGGCCAGCTGCAGAGTTTGGACGCAGAGCTGTTTGGGCTGTGGTACAGACCTACCTTTGGGCAATGTTCTACATCTGCTAATTAATCTCCAGGAATTTAAGTTCTAACAAATAGCTGGATGCTAAAGTCATGTAGCCTTGCAGGGTTATTTTCTTTTTCCCCTCTGAGTCTGCAAGGGTTTTAAACCCAAAGCCAGCATGTGTTTCCTCTCCAGTGTCACCAGCAGCATTTAGGATGGGTCAGGAACATCAGTCTGAGACAGTGCCAAGGAAAATGTCTGTATTTATCACACAGGATAATGTGTGCATGCCAAGGGGCTTTTCCAGGTTTTTATAATCACTGTGTGGCTGCTTCGCCGGAGCTTCCTAGATGTAAAAACTCCTTGTTTAGGGCAAATCCTGCTGCTTTTCCAGGAAGGAGGAAGGTGGGGATCCCCCAGGAGGGGGGACCAGAGGCAGTGATGCTCTGTTGAGGTGGGGGTGATGCTAAGTGGAATTCCTGCCCCAGGTTTCTGTAAAAACAAGTAGCCTTTACGCTGATTTAAGTCAAAGAGGTTTTATGTATTAGGCTATATATATATATATATATATATGTGTGTATATATATATATGTTTCCCTTCAGTGAAGGATTGTAGCAATGTACTGAGCCTCTTGTGTTAGGTATTTATTACAAATTTCTGTTTGGTTTTGTACAGTAGCTGTCTGGAAAGAAGAAAAAAAAAAGAAGGAAAAAAGACTGTTTTAACATGCTGCTCCCACATCCCCTCTCTGAAAGCTGCAGGGAGCTCAGAGAAGGGATGTCTTTGCTCATTGTTTATCCACTCTGGTATCTGACTGGTGTTCCCCTCCTCCCTGGTGTACCAACCAAGCTGTGTAAGCAAAACAAACCCAACCAAAATTAAGCTTTGGAATTCATCTTAAGGACAGGGGGGGGAAATACGATTTTCGGATTTTTAGCCTATTGTTTGTATTTGTTTTTAATTTTGAAAACAGTCTGTTTGTGGCTCTGCCTTTAGCCCTCAATAAAGGACTTCCTGCCTTTTATCTCTTTGCATTTGTCTTTATTTGCACTTTTCTCAGGACTATTATTATCTCCATCCCAGAGAGATTTTAAACCTCTCTTTTCTGTATCTTATTGATAATAAATGGTTCATTCAGTTTTAAGATGCTGAACGAAAATATTACATGAGAGAATAGACAAAATCCATGGAGCCAGAATTATTCTGCAGAAATTTGGAAGCAATTCTGTTTTGCAGATACCTTATGAGCACCTTCCTCTTTTCTATACATATACAGTATATCTTTCTGTATATATTATATACTTATTATAGATAATGTACTATAGTGTATTATAGTATCATATATTATATTATAGTATATATATTATACTATATTATAAATTATAGTATTGTATATTATTACTATATATATATATACTATATATATAGTATTATACTATAGTATACTACAGTATAAATAATATACTGTAATATATAATATAGATAATATACTTTATATTACTATAATAATATATAGCCATATCATATGAACCATATATAATATATATATTATATATATGAACCATCATAGAACCATATAATATATTGTGTATATGATGTATATTTACATCATATATATTATATATGCATAATATACATATTAGACACAAAGTATCACAAATCTCTTAAGTGTATTATATATCTATATGTACATCATCTATTTGATACATACATGTTATATATCTACATAGAATTCTATTATTTATATATATTAATATAGTCTATCTATATATCCTACATATAATCCTCTTAATCCATGATAATATATTTACTATATTATATGTAGATGTCATATATGTTACATTATACATTATACATATTATGTATGTACATACATTATACATTATATGTACATAATATATACATATATATACTGTAATCAAATTTTATAACTTATTACAATATGTAATAGGTAATTATAATTAATAATGTTATTCTAGATAATATATATTTATATACATAGTGGGTATTATATATACATAATAGATATTGTATACAAACAATATAGACATAATGTAGACACATACATACAGAATATAAATCTGTTCAGACAAATAGATAATTCTGCTCTTTACTAGGACAGACAGCCTAAACAGGACTTAACCAGAGGGGATTCTGACTCCTTCACTGAACTGTGGGATAATTTGCTGCTCTCTGAAACACTGGAGGGCTGCATTTGGTTTATGCCAATGGGAATTTTGGAGCCACCTTGTTGGAATAAGCCTGGGCTCATTACAGAGGAATCTTGGATCCCTGCCAGTTGTCCTGGGTGAAAGCCCATCCTGATGTCTGCTTTATTTTCTATATATTTTTTATATTATATTACATTACATTATATTACATTATATTACATTACATTATATTGTATTCTATTACATTACATTATATTACATCACATTATATTGTTTTATATTCCATCATATTATGTTCTATTTATTATATTCACAGCTACTATTATTTCTATCATAACCATTATATTACACCACATTATTACATTATGCAATACCTATATAAAACATTTACATATATAAATATATATATACATATACAACATGTTATTGTTCCAGCATTCCACATTACATTATTATTGTCTGTATTTGGGGACTTCCCTGACGTGTCCCCACGTTAAAGGGCTCTGCCACTGCTGCCAGCCTGTTTGCAGCCAGGTGTGACATTCCTCCAGGTGACTGCCCCTGGCACAGGGACAGGCCCTGGCTTGCAGCTCCTTAAGGTGACAGCCTGCCTGGCTTTTCCCCCACATTTTGACTTCCTTGTTTTGTTGCCATCGCTGGGTTTGAGTTGGATAATTTCAAACAATGCCACAAGGCTTTGGGATATTTCCAGCTAGGGGAAAAGTCCTTAATTAAGGATATCAGTGTAACCATCATCATTTAACTTTAGAAAAAAACTAGTGGGATAAGAAAATGAACCGTGGGGTAAGAAATAAACCTTAGGGGAACATTTCTTACACTGTATCCATGATGGTACCATAGAGACAATGGGGACCAGGAGGCACAGATGGATCTCTGCAGTTCCACCGGGGGAAATCATTGGGGTCAACCCATGGCTGAACCTCTCCAGCCTGTGCTGCCCATAATGCTGTCCCCTGTCAGGGTAATTACATTTCATGGGCATTATTCCTCCTGAAAGGCACTTCCAGAGGATGCAGGATGCCACAGGCTTCTCCCCCAGGCATGAACACTACCAGCTCTATGAAATGGTGCTTTGCTTCTTGATCCCAACAGCTTCTCCCTCCAAGGACTGGGCTCTCCTGATCTCCAGCCCCAGCCTTTGCTGGATAGTTGCTCCCCCTTATCCTTGTGCTAAAACTGTTCTTTTTTTTCAGTGATTTTCCTCTCTCCTGGGTCCATCCCTCCCTCCCCATGTGCTTGTGGACAGGAGTCAGTTCCAGTTCCACTTTGCTAAACTTTGCAAGGCTCACCTCATAAAACACCCTCCTCAGCTCTGGGCTGAATTTATTATCCCTGCACAGAAGGGACCACGGTGTCCCAGCAAGGTGACACCAGCACTTGCTGCTTCAGCCACAAATCCATCCTTATTCCTGATGGAACCATCCTTCCTGCCCTGTCCTAGAACCACAACATCCCTGTGCTGCCCTTTTCCCTGCTCAGCTCATCCATCTTGGTCTTACAACCCCTCTGCTCTGTTAGATCCCTCTTTCCCCACACAGATCCCTGACAAATCCATCCTCAGGTGCCCAAGCAACTCTGGTTCCTTGGCAGTGGCATTTCCGAGGGGCTGTTGCAATTCAGAGCTTTTTAGAAAGGTTTCTCTCCTAAATTGCTGCTTCAATCTCCTCTCCTGCCAACTGGGATGCTTTAACCCCCAGCACTACACTCGCTGAGGAAAAGGAAAAGCACTTCCAGGTGTGGGGAGGACATAAACCCCAAATCCTCCCCATGCCAGGAGAAAATCAGGAGTTTCCAAAGAGAGAAGTCAGCAGGATTGAGTTAAAGCAGATTAACTGAGCCCTGGAGATAACAACAGAGTGGAGAGGAAACAGCTCCAACTCCTGTGGTAAATTCAGGAGTAGGCAACAAGTCCTTGAGTGTGGGAGCAAAGCTGTTTTCCCTCAGGAGCTGCTGGGTCAGGGAGGTGAGAGCAAGGCTGTGCAGGGAAGGTGTCACTTGCTTTGGTTGTTAATGAGGAATCCTGCCAGGAGCAGGCTGCTGGGAGTGCAGTGTCTGCTCCAAGAGCTGCTGAAGCACAGGAAAACACATCCCACAGGCTGCAAAAGGAGGGTGAAGCAGCTTCCAGCCAGAAATGGCACCTCCTGGATGTTTGAATGAGGTAAGCAAGGGAGAGATTCAGGGATTAAAGAAAGGGGCAGATCCCAGGGATGGATGGGAAACACACCTGAGTGTTTTCTGAATGTATGGGAAAACAGAATTTCTGTTTAGACAGACACAGGAGGCTTTAAGGGCATGGCACAACCTCCAGGCACTCCCCTCATGCTGCAGACAGGAATCTCACTGAAAGCTGTTTTATACCCATCAAATTCCAGGAGGTTCAGCCCAGGATCTCCTGAGATCCCTCTATGTCCCTGTAAGAGAGCAGAAGATGCACAGAGCAGTTTTATCACTGAATCACTCCAGGTTTATGTTGGCGCTGCTCCATCTACATCCACAAATCAATCAATATTCTGATATTCAATCAGAATATTGCAAAATGAATGTAAGAGCAAATCCCATCACTGGGCAAATACCAGGAAACAGGATCTTGCATTTCTCAGCCTCTCACTGGGAAACTGCAACTGTGGAAAAAGCAGAGATAAAGGACAACCCAGCC